CAGTATAAAGTATCAAGATGTTAGTACAGCAGAATTACTTGGAAACAAAGATGCAAGAAATGGTCATGAGGAGATAAGTGTTACAAGTGATAGGATGGAAGATAAAGCTGGAGGTGGCAGGTGTAAAGACATCTGGGTTCACAAATAAATGTACATGTGAGAAGGATAAAGGCAGGGAATGGCTAAAAGGAGTAATTGGGCCATTGTAATAGAACTGCCCTCACAGATGTATAACACTGTTATGCCACTTAAAAATTATACAAAATGTTGCATGAAATGAATAAGCACAGTGCACTGAGGAGCGATCATGATCTATTTTATGGCAAACCCATTACTATATTTGTTTATTAATGGACTGGCGGTGTGACAAGAGGTCGCAGAAAGGAAACCCAGTTTTGAAATAATTTTGAAAATATTTTGAATTCTTAGGAAGCCTGTTGCCTTGTGATAATATTGATAGAAGTAAGGAAACTGGAACAAATTCTAATATACATAGGAGTTGAGGAAGAAATTAAACAAGTCTGAAAGTACTGGCTACCTACCTCCATAGAGCAGAGTTCTTGAAAGGCTGATATTAGCTCAGGGAAATTACCCCTCTCCTTTATGGAACAGAAGGTTTTTTTGCACCAGTCCCTGTACTTATCCTAACCAGGTGAATCCACTCCATGTCCTACCATCCTATTTGAACATCTCAATATTATTCCACCCTGTTTCTACATTTCAACATTATCCTCCCACATGTTCATGGGCCTTCCAGTTTTTCCTTATGTTTTTCATATAAAATGTTGTGGTGCATTTCTAATCTCTTCATGCATGCTATATTCCCTGCCCATCTCATCCTTGATTTGATCATCCGAGTAACAATTGGTGGAGACTAGAAATTACAGCAGTCTACGTCATGTAGTTTTTTCCAGCCTCTTGCCACTGTCTTTATTCTGGGCCCAAATAATCTCAGTGCCTTTCCTCTGTTATTAGTTTAAAATGTTGGGATGTAATGAAAACTGTTTCAAGCAGGATTGACATAAAATACAAAGATAAGAATGTGATGGAATCTACACACGTGTGAATGCCAGAAGACTACCAGGTTCCATTAAGAGGCAGCCGCATCATGACAGCAGACAAATAAAGGAATGAACAGTTTTGGTTGGAGTGGATATGCTACAGAAATGTTAATATTTAATTGAATTTCAATTTTATGGAAGCCTATTATGGCAGGATTCTTTTAATTTATGAAATTTGTGAAAGAAAATAAAATATACATTCAAGGAGTTATGAAGA